ATCCCTGCACTTTGGGAGACCGAGGCAGGTGAATCACCTGAGATCAAGAGTTTGAGAATAGCCTGACCAACATGGAGAAACCCCATCTTTACTAAAAATACAAAATTAGCTGGGCGTGGTGGCACATGCCTGTAATCCCAGCTACTCAGGAGGCTGAGGCAGGAGAATTGCTTGAACCCAGGAGGTGGAAGTTGTGTTGAGCCAAGATCAGGCCATTGCACTCCAGTCTGGGCAATAAGAGCAAAACTCTGTCTCAAAAACAAAAAAAAAACCCTAGCAAAGCCAGGCATGGTGGCTCATGCCTGTAATCCCAGCACTTTGGGAGGCCAAGGTGGGAGGATTGCTTGAGGCCATGAGCTCAAGACCAGCCTGAGTCTTGAGAAACGTAGTGACACCTGTTTCTACAAACAAACAAACAAAAACTAGCAAGATTTATCAAGGGGAAAAAAGAAAGAAAAAGAAGATTAAAATAATCAGTGTCAGACATGATAAAGAGAAATCACAACAGACCCACCTTTATGAAAGATCATAAGAAGGTATTATGAATAGTTTTATGACAAAACATTTTGCAAATTTAAATTGTTGAATCCTTTAAAAAGAAAATGTATCAAAAACGAACACAAGAAAGTATGAAATCTTAACTAACCCAATAACTATTCAATAAACTGAATTGATAATTTAAACCCTCCCACAAAGAAAACTCCAGGCTTGGAGTAATAGCCTCAGAAACATACATGTGCTTTCACCAGCACACAAACACAAGGATGATCATAGCAGCATCATGTATAATAGCCCTAGACTGGAAACAACCTAAATGTCCATCAAGAGTAGAACAGATCAACACATTGAGCCACATTTTTTAATATAATACTATCCATTGATTAAAAACTGCAAACTACACCTATACCGTTGATAAAAAACAAACTACACCTAACAACCTGGATGATTTTTACAAGTATAATGTTGAGTAAAAAGTGGGGCACGTGGAAGAATACACACTGTTTAGTTACATTTATATAAAGGTGAAAAAACAGGATTTAGCATTGAGATGCTAAAGTTTAGTTTAGCAAAAAACTAAACTTTGGCATTTAAAGAGATTTTTTTCCCTTTAAGCTTTTATTTTTATTTTTATTACTTTTTAGACAAGAGTCTCACTCTGTCAACCCAGGCTGGAGTGCAGTGGTGCAATCTCAGCTCACTGCAACCTCCGACTCCAGGGTTCAAGCCATTCTTCTGCCTTAGCCTCCTGAGTAGCTGGGACTACAGGCACGCGCCCCCATGCTCAGCTAATTTTTGTATTTTTAGTAGAGACGGGGTTTCACCATGTTGGCCAGACTGGTCTTGGACTCCAGACTTTATGATCCACCCACCTCGGTCTCCCAAAGTGCTGGGATTACAGGCGTGAGCCACTGCACCTGGCCTAAGATTTTATTTTTTTAGAGCAGTTTTAGGTTCACATCAAAATGGAACAGAAGGTACAGAGATATCTCATATACCTCCTGCCCCCACATAAGCACAGCCTTTCCCGCTATCAACATCCCCCATCTAACTGGTTTGTTTGTTGCAATCCATAAGCCTACAATGACACATCAGTATTCCAGGATCCATAGTTCACATTAGGGTTCTCTTTGGTCTTGTACATTCTATAAGTTTTGACAAATGTATGACAGGTGTCCGTCATGACAGTATCATACAGAGTAGTTCACTGCCCTAAAAACCTTCTGTGCTGTACTGATTGATCCCTCCCTCCCCTTAACCTCTAGCAATTACTGATCCTTTTACTGCCTCTGCGGTTTTGCCTTTTCCAGAATGTCATATAGTTGGAATCATATGGCATATAGTCTTTTCAGACTGTCTTCTTTCACTTAGTAATATGCATTTAAGGTTCTTCCATATCATGTCATGGCTTGATAGCTCATTTCTTTTGAGGACAGAATAACGCTGCATTGCCCGATATATCACAGTTTATTATCTACTTGCCTACTAAAGGACATCTTGGTTGCTTCCAAGGTTTTGTAGTTATAAATAAAGCTGCTGTGAACATCTGTTTTTATATATTTTTTGGTGGTAAAAATAAGCAAAGGTGCTTTACATAAAAAGGATAATGGTCACCTCTGATAGGGAGGGAGGATAGAAGTGGGCAGGGGGAATAAGGAGTAAATCCAGGGTGAGGGCAGAGTTCCATTTCCCAACCAGGCTGATAGTGACAGTGGTGTTGACTTTGTGATAAATCACTGAACTGTATATCTCTGTTTTTGTTTTTTGGGGTTGTTTTTTTGGTTTTGTTTTGTTTTTGAGACAGAGTTTCACTCTTGTTGCCCAGGCTGGAGTGCAATGGCATGATCTCGGCTCACTGCAACCTCCGTCTCCCAGGTTCAATCGACTCTCTTGCCTCGGCCTCCCTTTTCTCTAGGTGCATTCTATTTTACAATTTTTAAAACTGATGAAAAAAGAAAAGGGGAGTCAGAAAGGAGAGAAGGAGGAAGTAATGGAGGGAGAGAAGAGACCTTAGAAGCTGAAAGGCAAAAAGCTGAGGCGTTGAAGCACGTGTTGTGTGGCCTCAATCTTTTCAATAATGTATGAGGCACGGTCTCCCAGAGAGATCAAGGGTCTGAAAGGTCTGGACAAGACTTGCGACAACCGCATTAGAAATGTCGTGGGCCAGGAATCCACTATAGATCAGGGAAGGATTGCTGAATAAACTCTACTGAGCATGGGCTGCAAACTCAAATGTCCGGGGGACAGGCAGGTATCTCATGAATCAGGTCGTCTGGGGAGCGGGAGGAAGCAAGCCCATTGATCAGTGACATCCAATTCTGTTTCGGGTCCAGGAATACACTTTCTGTTGTTGCAGAGATGATGTCTGCCCCATGTCAGAGAAGCTGCTGCCTCTCGGCTCCAGGCAGTGGTCATTCCAGAGTGGGTAAAGACCAGGTACCACCAGCTCTCAGTTCTGTCTGCTAGTGGAGCTAAAACTCTGGATTTTCTGGTGATCTCCTGTTTCTTCAATGCTCATAACTAAATCAAATTGTTTTAAATATTATTCGGGCCACACAAACCCCATTTGATGTTCCTGATGAGGTCTGTGAGGTCCGAGACCCCTGGGTGAACCAGTCAGATCACCGTGGAACAAGTCGCCTCAGGGCCTGGCTGTCTCCAGCCGCTCTGAGTAGCTGTGCAGCCAGCCAGTCTCCGATTTGGGCTGTGATGAGTCTGGATGGCAGAAGAATAAGAGGGATGGGAAATTGAGGGAGGGCCTCATTGAAAGGGCTCACTCCAGGAGCCAGAAAGCCAGAAGACCCAGAGCTACAGTGAGATCAGAGACGCACAGTCCCCATGAGGACAAAGAGCCCAGCAAGGGGAATGGGAGAGGTAAAAGGATGAAAGAGTCAGAAGGAGTTTCAGAATCTAAGTGCTCCAAAAATAAACCTTTCCCTTTGTATCACTTTTCTCTTTTGACTTTAGTTGCTCTCAACTTGCTGCTTCCTTTTTTAAAAAATTCTAACAATTCTGCAGAAAACCAGAAGTGTGAACCAAACACAGTAACTCTAGGTGTTATGGCGCTGTCCTGCTCACTTTCTTTTGGCCTACTGGCTTCAAAGGTAGGCACACACACATCCCTTTTCTAATGATCCGGTGGTGGATTCAGGCTCAGTAAGCCAAGGCCACAAGCAACAGCGCTTGGGTTCCGTCTCGGCCCCTTGTAGCTGCCTTCCAGGAAGTGCTGGAACAGCAGAAGCAGCCAGCAGTATGCTCAAGAAGTGGGCAGCAGTGGGGAGCAGCCCGAGAGGGGAGGCCAGTGAGCAAATATCAGTTTGGGAAATCGGGTTTGGGCTGAACAAAGTTCACTGTTGTTTTCCAAGAAAGCAGAGCCTGGTTGAGCCACCCTAGGGAATAAGGAGAGGGGCAACTTGAACTGAGTATTGGCTCCAAACTTCTACAGCCTGATACACTTGGCCACCCAATGGTGATCAGAGCCATTGGTGTTCCCATGGGGGGCGGGGGCAGAGGGCAGGCTCGGAGTAAAAGGGGAAGACAGACAGGTAGTCTAAATACCACCAAACCACAGAGATTGAGACCAAGACGAAAGGAAAAAAACAGCAGAAGGGATTTTTGTCCTTGAGATGTGCTTTGCAAATTCTTTTCAATTAGTTCCCCATTAATTATTCCATCTTGAACATTTAGAGCTGTTCAAGCCAGGCGGCATGTATGTTTTGAAGTGGTTAAGTTCTCCATTCCTAGCAGAGTCTGAGCAGAAGCTCAGCTGTTATCTACCAGAAATTCTATCAACAGGATGAAAGGTTGAACTATTCTGAAGACTGTAATTCAGCAAAACTGGGTAATCTCTGGCAAATGATACCCTTTCTGAGTATGTATGTGTCACTAAAAGTCACTCAGGCAAACCAGGCTGTTTGTAAATAGGTCTGATTATCTGCAAATTAGCTGATTGAAGGTCCCTGGGTATGAAGCAGGGCTTATTTTAAGAAATTAAGTTAATTTAGATAATAGTTGTATTGAAAAGCAACAAGTTCAAAAACAATTAGAAAGAATGCAGCTTCCATTTTATTTTTTTCAACTCCATATTTTCTTTTCAAATTATTTCTAATAGGCTATCTGTTAAGAAATAATATCTTTTGACCTGGTGTGGTGGTTCATGCCTGTAATCCCAGCACTTTGGGAGGCCAAGGCAGTTGGATCACCTGAGGTCAGGAGTTTAAGACCAACCTGGGCAACACAGTGAAACCCCGTCTCTACTAAAAACACAAAATTAGCCAGCCAGGTGTGGTGGCGCGCGCCTATAATCCCAGCTACTTGGGAGGCTGAGGCACGAGAATTGCTTGAATCTGGGAGACAGAGAGGTTGCAGTGAGACGAGATAGCACCATTTTATTCCAGCCTGAGAGACACAGCAAGACTCCATCTCAAAAAAAGAAAAAAAAAAAAAAAAAGGCTCTTTGGTAAATTAAATATTCTTGGAAGTCATTATTACTTTCCAAGTCAATAGAAGTATTTTTTATCTAATAGCATATTAATTCCTATCTTTACACATTTGTACCCATACAACACCCAGCCCTGCACCTGACATATAACGGGTACTCATAGATGTTCACTGAATTAATTGGTTGCAAAAACCAAGTGTATCAGTTGAACGTTTCTGCGTATTGGTGATAACTGCGTTTGGAACACCTGTTCTATGCCAGCGACTGGGTCAAATAAACACTCATCCTCATAGTAATCACTATGAAGTGATTGCTACATTAGCCCCATTTTACAGATGATGCCACTGAGGCCGGTGAGTAGCTGAGCCAGGATTCAAGGCCAGGCCCGTCCAACTCCTAAGCTGAAGCTCTCAGCGACGGTATTAAACTGAATCTGAATCCTCTGCTCATTTTATCTGTTTTGAAGCACTGCATGTGGTGCGTTCAGCAGATGAAAACTCTCTGATGAGGCACATGTGGACGGGATGGCAGGGCTGAGAAGGCCGGGCGGGGGCACACAACCTACTTCCCCAGCTGTTTCTGCTACCTACCGGCTGGGGCCTTCAGCTCCACCGCCTCCCCTCCCCCAGGCCCTAAATCACTCTTGGGCCCTTTGTTCTTCCCCACAGCTGCTCAGCAAATTCCTTGATTTGAAATTACGATCACAGGTTGGAGTGCTACTTAAAATAATTTTGCCAAATGTTCCATCTCTGTGTGTTGATGAATATAATGGATCACATTGTCAAAAAAAAAAAAAAAAAAAAAATCATAGGCTGCATGCATAGCATGAGTTTGAAGGATTCATTCCCCCAGGAAGCTACCAAATGCTGGACTTTTGTAAGCCCTCGGCATGGCCGGGAGAGTGGGCTGCTGGCAGGTATGGCCTGCAACAGAGGAAGAGAGCAAAGGTCAGGGCGTTTGTTGGGTTTGTTTAAGCATGAGTCAGAGGAGTGGGGGCAGACCTGTGGATCCAATTTCCAATTTCCTGTGCAAGTCACTGAGTGGCACTTCTCCCCTTCCCCAAAAGCCTTTTATGCACACCGCTCTGCAGAACAAAGGGAGATAGGGTAGGGGACACATAAATCACCTAAGCAGGCAGGTCTTCTCGAAGGGAGAGCCTCTTGAATACGGAAAATGCAAGCTCTAAGGGAAGCTGGGACGGAGGCAGACCACGTGCATCTAGCACTTTGGCCAACTGAGGCTTAACGGGCTTGGAGTTCCTCACCCTGGGTCTGAGTGCAGTGTGAAGCCAGGGGCCAGCCCTTCCTGCAGGCGGGCCCTGCGGCCAGGCTCAGCTCTGGCGACGGGTGGCTGGGCCATCAGGAATCAGAACAAGGCTTCTTCCTTCACACCTGGTCCTTTCTCAGCAGGTGGGCTCCACATTAGACATTTTCCCCATGTCCTAAGCATTCTTCCAGGCGTGAGCAGGTGGGGAGAGATGAGCAAATCCCGAGCAAAGAAGAGGTGGCGGTGGCGCTTTTCTCAAGTTTTCCATATCAGAAAAAGCCCTGGCACAGGGCAGGCCCTGCTGGCAGCCCGGCCCCACAACCTCCCTTCCAGGCCTGCCTCCAGGGCAGGAATCCAATAGGAACATGGGCCCCCAGGGCCACCAGAGGTGCAAACTGCCCTCTGAAAACAGGGCTACCTCTCTGTAGGAGTCTTGCCATGCAGAAAACACCAAGCCCTCTGGAAACCGCCCGTTCACTGAGGGTCTCTGGCTAGCTGGCACTGCCCATCAAGGCCACGTCCCATAGGGGACACACCAGGCTTGTACTGAATCACAACAAGCTGGGAGCTCCGTGCATCCCCCAAAACGATCTTCCACACAGTGCAAGGCACTCAAAAGAAATGGTTCCAGCTACTGGGGGCTCCCGTCAGCCTTTGAGGGCAGTGAGGTGTCGAGGGGCAACCTCTGGGGTAGACAAGTCCCAGATCCACCACTTCCCAGCTGCGGAAGCTTCCTGCCCCTTTCTGGGCCTCAATTTCCTCATCTCTGAAATGGGCATAACCGTATCACTTCACCAGGGGGTTGTAATGGGTCAATGCCCCTACCCTGTTGATAAGCAGGAGTCTTGAGCTATTTCCACCAGAAATGGCAGCAGGATGGCAGGGCAGGAGAAGCCCCCGTCTGTGGGTCAGGACAGAAGCAAGGGTGTCTTTACACACAGAGGATGCTACAGTTCTTTGTCGCATCCTCGATCTGCCGGACTGTCTGCTTGGCTGTACAGTCTGCTTACCGTATTCCCTCCAAAGTAGGGCCCCAGGCCCTCATGGACCCCACTCCAGACCCTCCTCCTCGATGGGCGGGGGAGAGAGGCAGAGCCTGCGGTGCCCACCTCACTGGCTGTGGCAGTTCCCGCTCTTCCTTTCTCTCAGGTGACTCTTCGGACCCTCATTCGCCACCTCCAACCTCTCTTGCTTGGAAGAGGAAAGAGACATCTCAGGTTCCTTTGTCTTCGGGTCACACTAGCTCTAAGGACACCCCAAGAGGGAGTGGAAGGACTGGCTGCCCAACAGAAGGAGATTTTATCGCTGATATTGTTTGGACTTAATGGTGTGTGGCAATTAAAATGGTTTAAAAGCAGTCTGACTTGGAGCTGGATTGATTCTTGTCTTTAAACTGTCTAGGGACAATGCGGTCCTCACTGCCAGCCCCCAAGGCACACCCATCCCTGCACCCTCCTGGCTACTGCTCACCCAGGGCCCATCTTTACAGGCCTCTCAAGTCATAAGGGGTCACTCTCTTGTCTCCTTGGATGCCCTTAACACAGAAAATGATCTGCACCCTAGTTCACGCCTCTCCTATAGCTCCGGAGACAGACCTGTCGGGAATCCTCAGAAAGGGTGCTCTCCCTCTCCCCAGAAGCTCTTGTTGGGTCCTTTGGGAAAGCAAAGAAATAACCCATCCCCCAAATCCCCATGGGCATAAGGGGAGGGTCTTTGATGCCTAATTTTTTGTGTGTGTTTTTATTTTTCCTTTTTGCAGATCTCTGCACTTAATGAGGAAGTGCTGTCAGCAGAAAGGAGAGGAAGCTTCATCCCGACCCCCGAAGGACCCACATCCCTCTCAGCAGGGAGGCAGAATCATTCTTTTACCCCCGGCCTTGAAGGGCAGCTCCAGACACTCACGCGGACCCAAGCAGAAAAAGCACAGAGCCTGTCATCACACTGTGTACCTTGCACAGGTGACGTCCTGCAGAAATTTCTGGAAAGAGAAAACAGAAATTTTATGACCCACAATTAAAATGACTTCAGTAATAAATAACCCTGATAGCTTGCCCCTCCAAGTGTATGCTGCGTTCCACGCCCCCAGCCAGCCCTTCACCTCCATGTCCTCCTCCTCCATCTCCTCCTTCTCCTTGCTGAGCTCTCTAACAACCTTACGAGGGAGAGACTTCTTACCCTCACTTCACAGAGGACATCGAGGCCAAAGAAGGGAAAGGATTCCCCAGGTGACACCTAAAGTGACAAAGTTGAGACCCACATTGAGCTTGTCTGCAGTCGAGGTCACTCTAATTCCTCACACAGCCCTGCCAGAGGTTCCCACAGTGCTGTGTGCCAGCCAGGTGATAGGCCTTTCCACAAAGGACATCAAAAACCTGATCAGGCCGGGTGCAGTGGCTCATGCCTGTAATCCCGGAACTTTGGGAGACTGAGGTAGGCTGATCACCCGAGGTCAGGGGTTTGAGGCCAGCCTGGCCAACATGGCGAAACCCCACCTCTACTAAAAATACAAAAAAAATTACCCAGGTGTGGCAATCCTGGGATTAACTGTAGTCCCAGCTACTCAGGAGGCTGAGGCAGGAGAATCGCTTGAACCCAGGAGGTAGAGTTTGCAGTGAGCTGAGATCACGCCACTGCACTCCAGCCTGGGTGACGGAGCGA